ACGAAAAAAAGCGGACGATGATAGCAGAAACGGGCCGCATTTCTATATCCATAATAATAATAAGGGACAATAATTATTTGAAACAGGCGCAAAAATCGGCCCTTTTCAGGGTCTTTTCACCAAATTTTATAACGATGGAACAATATTCGAACGCATAAAATATGAAATAATTATATCTCGCGTGTTTATGCAACACTAAAATTAAAAATATTCTACTTCGACAACCTATACAAGCGCTGTATTATTGCAGTATTCTATATTAATGCAGTATTCTGTATTGAAATAAATCTAATAATCTAATATTTATTTTTTTTAAGAGCAGCTATTAAGAAACATTTGTCGAAGCCTTCTGAAAACTCTTCCCCAAAATCTCTTTTTACATTACAGTAATTTCCTTGCTAACAAGAAAAAATGCATGGATGTTCGAGCGAGCGAAACAGTCGTCGGAACACCGCGTATTGCTCACGTATAGACGAGACAGTGTGAGTCGAGCGTTTTCTTAGTGTGCGTCACACGTATTTTAGGACGGCATTTCTGTCCACGACGTCTTATAATGCTATCTCTCTCGCTTTTATGTCTGCGATAGAGGATGGAAGATCGCCGCGACTCCCACCACTATTCCCTTTCCAAGCGTCCGACGATCGTACACCGCTAACCTCCTCCGCCAGACCGTGCTGCTTTTTCTCACCTACAGGCAGCAGTGTGTGAGTGACGCGTCATCGTGTGCGAGTCACACGGATATACGGACGGCATTTACGCCGGTGCGTGTACAAGTATACAACAGCAGACGGCGCAATTGCAGCTCATATACCATATCACGCATTATTATTCAACAATCTTTTTTAATTAATATCTCGACTATTATTGCGAATATCGCAAAATGGTATAGGACTTTTGTGTTCATCTCCGCTCTACGTCCTCACAAGAGATTGTGAAGGTGATACGGGACACTCTGTATATACATTATGCTACTTTCTTAGATGAGTTTACGTATTGTGATAGAATTTGTTTATTTAAATATGTATGTATGTATTATTTAAATACAAAGCTTAAACCATATGTCACCTATGATCTACATATTATATACAATGTAAATGTGTATAAACAATTAATCTTCCGTCGCAAAAGTATTATAAATAAAATGTTGAAAATTTGTTGTTAAAATGATGATAATTATCATCTCAATGTTTTTACTCTTTCTTAAATTAAAAAAAATTCTTTTAATTTTTTGAAATTTCTAAATTTTTTTAAAATTGTGTTAATTTTGTTAACTTTTTAATTCTATTATTAAAAAAATTTTTAAATTTATATATTTTTTTGTTGAAAACTCATTTATTTTTATCGGCTTTTATCGATGGAAAACTATTTAAGGACATTCATTTGACATTATTTGGAATATTCATGTTCCAGCAAAATTTCTGCACAATCGGACGTGGGTGGTATTCGGAAGTTTATTCTAATTTGCTATAAAAAATGATTTGTTGTCAAGATAGACAACAACATTGATTTACGATTGCTTGTAATTCACTCATATTCTGAGAAAAAGAAGTGGTTGAATTAATGAGTCTTTGCTTTAACGAACAAAATTCGTTCAAGTAAACGTTTAGTCGATTAAACGAATTATATTGTTGCTGCAACGTGTTATCTATTGATTCAATGGTTGTGATTAGTAACTATATCAACGCAACTTATTTTTACATTAACACATAATGTTTTGAATAAGCATAATATTTCTTTGAAGACGTATAATCGCCGATTTTGTCGACCAACTACTTTTTCTTCTCAGAATATACAAATAAATTAATAAATAAATAATGTAAACGTTGCACTCTTACTTTCATTTGGTCTGGATCGGTGACACCAATAATTAGTTTACTGTACAACCAAAATCGAAATGGAGACGGGTAAGTACCCGTGAGGAAAGATATACTGTTCAACAATTCTGAAATTTTTTATACTTTAAAAATATATTACTGTTAAGCAATTGTCTGTATTTAATGATATTATAGTTTTTAATAAATCAACGTTAAATAATTTTATTTTGAAATAATATTATGTTTTATGGTTTATTTTCATAAGAAGTCCCTAATTATTTTTTTTAAGTAATTAGCATACTTTAATAGTTTCATCGTAAATTAAATTTACTACAGTGAATGATTTGGATGCCAATTTGAACCCCTCTATAAATTTATTAATTTTTATTTTTATTTTTATTTTTGCAAAATTTTTATTCCGTTTATAATATTGACAAGTATATAAACGTTAATATTACCGTCAAAATTTCTTTGGAGAAGGTAGTAGGCATTTCCAATAATCGGTTGCGTTTTTGGACCTGGTAATGCATTTGCCATTTGAACGAATCGTAACCGCTTCCGATATTTCGGGATTAAGTAAATTATGCCAATACATACTAAGGTTATCAAAGCTACACTCGTAAGCATTATTATGCTGGTAAACTGTAAAATAACGAAGCAATGATGCGATATTATTCACCTGTACACACTCTATAAATAATAACAATATAATAAGCAAATATTGAGCAAAAATATGGACTGTCTTACTTAAAGAACAATGTTAAAAAGACTGTTTTTATCTATCCAGATAAACGTGAAAATATTATCATTCTTTACTAACTTTTACCAGTTAAGTTACAGTTATGTTATTAGAATTACTCGGAAAAATGCCGGGAAACTTTAATTTTGAGGTTGTATTGCTCCAGATAATCCCCTATATCCCTGATGAAAATAAAAACCTTATAAACCGTCCGATAAGTATTTCCTGAGAGTTTATACACTTTCAAATTTTGTATGAACGTTGACATCCTGTAAGCTCGAGAGACGCTGTTGGATTATGAAAGCTTTCGAAACGCTTTCATAACTCATTAAATGCTGTATATAATATTTTGTGAAAGTTCTGCAACGCTGAAGCAACGCTTTTCAAAACACACTCAATAAACACTGATACACTTTTGTGCAGCGAGTTTGTTGTCAGACTTTTAAAACGTTTGAAAAACACTTTTTCCAACGTTTTCCGTAAGACAAGGGTTTTTCCTCCGTTCAACAAACGCTCTTCCAATACGTAAACGCTACAGTGTTGCAATTTCCGCTCTATCGATAATTTCTAAACTCTCAATGAACTCCCGCAAACGCTTATGTAAACGCTAAACAAACGCTTATGAAATTTTTTATTTTCGTCAGGGATACAAGTAGTGCCGAACTTGTCAATATTCTGGGGGAAAATTGCTATTTGCAAATATACAAACCAGAAACAACTAGTGCAGGATATTTTCAAAAGACATGTGAAAAAATGGCAAAAAAAGTTCATGTCTCCTTATTTAATTTATAAAAGAATTAACAAATTTTTACTTTAAAGTGCGCCATATAGAATTCGTCATTTTAGATATCGGAAGTCAGTCATCTTATTGATACTGGAATTTACCACTGTATTTAGCTGGTCAAAATTAGTAAGCAAGAAATGATAACGTTTTCACGCTTATCTTGGTAGGCAAAAAACTGCTTTTTTTACCATTATACTTCCTTACGTTAATTATATTTCGATGTTCTAATAGAAAAAGTAAAAAAAGAAATAGCAATACACTACGACGTCTTTTTCGCGAGGTTTACTCGCGAGCGACGGCAAACAGTCGCCTGTCAGCCGCGTCGGCAAATTGTCGTTGTCCCTGAATCACGCCACAACACAAGACGGGCGCCAGGTGCAGAAAAGGCCGCACCACCTCAATAAACGCGAAATGTACTAATTTTCATAAATTCGTGCGACCCGGGAATCGTCGGGACCGGTAGCTTTCCGTTTATTTTAAGTCGGAGACGGGATGGATGGAGGAAATAAGAAGAAGACTCCGCGCGTGATCAATAGTATAAAATTTATTGGCGGGACTCTCGCACGTCCCGAAAATAATCGTAAGATAATTTTCATAAAAGAGCCGCGATACTTGTGATGGCAACGAGAACACGACAATTAAGACCCGAGGACGGTCTCCTTCTTACACGCGGCCGCTCCGCCGACGGGACGATGGTACACAAAACTTACGGTAATGGCATGAAATGATTGAGCAGATGGGAGGTCTTACAATTTGCGACGGCTTTCCTTATGGATGGCTTCGGCGGCGGCAGTGACGGTGCTCCGGGTCACTCTCCGCGGTATTCCTCTCTCGTTCACCCGCTCGCTCTTTCTCTCCCTCTCACTTTCTTTCTCACTCTCTCTCTCTCCCTGTCTCAATCGCACTATCGCTGTCTCACGGCGGTATCACGGTCGTGTGTCCGAAGTGACGGTCGGGGAAAGGCTGCTGATCCATCTGCTTTCTGAGGACCGCGTATCCTCGCCGTTCCTCCTTCGTCGCTTCCCTTCTCGCCTGAAGGTATTCGGCACTCGGGAATCGGCAATTTTTGGTAGGCTTATCTCGAAATGTTACTTGTCTCAAGGCACTGTTGCCGTTGGGGATCGGTTCGCGGTCTCCATCGGCGCTCCAGTTTTTCATGCTGGGATCATCGGGACGGTCTCGTCCTCCTGCCGTGTCCGCCAAACGCCCGCTAAAAACACAACTGAGCGGTATCATCTGCTATTTCGGTAGTTGTATTTTCGTTATCGAATATAATATTCGCTAACGCAGAGCGATCGGGAAATTCGAGAACTTTCTAACGTTAAATAATGTGAGAGCGATTCACCTGAGCGAGAGCGATGAGCCGGCGGTCGCTGTTCCTTCGTCCCACGATGTCCTCGGTTCAGTTGGTCCTGGTGGCCGACAAGGGAAGCCGAGGGGCACAAAGTTTGGAACACGAGGACCTTCAAATCTGCTCCGCTCGTACAAAATGATTTCAACGATTCTCCCGAGAGCTAACACAAAACAAAATACGCCGGAACGCGATACGCGATAGCATTCGTGAGAATTTTTTCGGGACGCGATACGCGAGAAACAATTGCGAAATTGGTACGATTTTCTTTGGGACGGGCGCCTCCGAGGCTGCCACGTCACAACACGTGAACAAAAAATTTTCCCATATATACTTACATAACACAACGCCTAAAATCGAGACATAAAATGTCTTAAAGGCGTTTTAAAGACAACTTATGTCTCGATTTTAGACATTGTGTTGTGCGGGTTATTGTTCCACTAGTTATAAAACACAGTTCTCAGTGCACTCAGATCAAAATCACGGTTTTGTATATTATAATAATTATTATATTATTTATTATACCACTTATACTAATTATTATACTAATTTCTGTACGTGTATATAAAATTGCTATATAAAACAAATAGATAACATTATAGCTTAAACGCTTACCGTTCTTGAGAAATTTTTAACGCAGAATCTGAAAAATGCTAAACAATTAACACTGTTGATGACTGTATAACAGATTTTGAGAAAAAAAATGCAGCGTATATACAGTGTATATACAGCGTATATACAGTGTTTGACGCAAGGTATATAAAATCACATGTGTAAAAGTAGAACGTGTTCACGTGTAGAACCTGAACACGAAGAGCTCTAGCATTTCGCAAATAACTACATAAAACTTCGAGATATTAATGAAAAAAATTGACGAATCTGAGCACGCGTTGTTGGACTGAGTTCTATAAGCGCAAAATCTCTTAAAAAATGATTAAAACGCTACTATCTTTTAGCATAGCCGGATATTCACTGATAGCTCAAGATTGAGTAAGGATGTGAACAGAGTGATAATAATTATTTTTCGATGTATGGTGAGCGTGTCGCAAACAAATAGTCGCATTTCGAACAATTTTTATGATATCTCGCGCTAACGGAACATGTCTCACAACATTGCGTAGGCTGGTTCGTTAATCTTTTTTTATCAATATCTCGAAATTTTACGTAATTGTTTATAAAATGCTAAGGGTTCTTTTGTATAGGTTGTTTTTTCAGCGTGCTTTACCTTTACATACAGTTTTGTATAGCTTACGTCAGATACTCTGTATACACGAGGATAATACAAGAATATACCACAGGTAGAAATGTCTTTACATTAAAAAAAAAATTAATCTTAAGTTTTCAGACAATCCATATATCAATATTTATTCTCGCGAAACAAGTAACAAGTAACACGGAATCTTCCACATCTGATGTTACTCAGTAACTGGCTACTTGTGTAACTGGCAAGCAACACGGTTGAAATGAAGTTTATAACAAGAAAGTAAAAGTAGTAATTTGGAGCTGTATATGCGCGCGCGCGTCAGCGCAATAATTATACATTGACGCAGAAACATTAATTCGCATTCGTTACAATATAAATGTCCTCACTTTACATATTTTATCATTTTTATTTACCCCATTTCTGCAACTCATTATGAGTCTACAATTTAAACTCTTAAGATTTTATCGATTAAACGAAATTGTTATAAGCAGGTGAAGTTCAATCATAATTATATGGCACATTCTGTCTTCGAAGATAAATACTTGTAATATGCATGGAAAAAAAGAATTTGCTGCATATGGATATATGTAATTAATTTGCTGCTACATATGGACAATTAAACGTAATTCGCTGTATTAGCTGCATTTTCTTTACTGCAAAAACTTATTTTCATGCTATAATAACAAGAAAACCTGCTTCTATAGCAAAAAAGTGGCTAACGCAGCAAATTATGTTTAGTTATCTATATGTAGCAAATTTTTTTCCGTGGCAAAAACTTTATGTTCTTTACCTTATGGAAAAAAATTGCAAAAATACGAAAAAACTATTAACATGCTATTGAAAAACTGTAGTTCTTTAATAGTATGCCAGTAATTTTTTCGTATTCCTATAGTTTTTTTCCGTAAGAGTTCTATTGTTATTACCAATACATTATTAATTACGACAGATTTTCAGTGAATTATTCATGATAGATTCAACAAAACGATAAGATACGCTAAGTCTCTATAAAAGACTATCTCTGTTATATTTCAATAATCCTTACAGAAATATCATACTGAGAATCATTGATTAATTATTTAATTTCAGTATTAAAAGTACAGTGTTTAGTAATATTCTATGATTCAAATACAGCTTTTAGAGCTCAAGTATTTCAGTGTTTAGTGTTACAAATACTATCTTATGATCGACTTCACTACTTAAATATTGATATATAATACTTCGTTCAGTGATAATACAGGGTGAATATTATATACCGGAACACCTGAATATCTCGAAAACAAAGCGTTGTATAAAAAAAATGTTAAATACAAAAGTTGTAGGGTTTAAAAAGATCTATTTTATGATATTAGCAGTTTGACCTTGAGTTGCGTCATAAAGATCAGGTCAAGGTCACAATGATGTTTTTAAATGGATACCCCCATTTTTTATTGTATATTCTTGTAGCTTATCTCGAGAGCTTTCCAAAACACTATACTTAAGTATTTTTTCGTTAAGTACTTTTCGAGTTAAGAGGCTTCAAAGTTACGCTCTTTAGCATTAGCGCGCGTGGATACCGTAGTGACGAGCACGAACGCGCGCTCGTATTAATAGTAAATAGCGTAAGGCTGATGGCCTAAAAAACGTAAACGCAAGGGCAGCTCTCGTTTACCGCGCTTGTGTTTACGTTTTTCTCTGCCTTAGCTTACCTTAATCGGCCGGATATGATTTTCCTCTTGCCTTAATCGGCCGCGCGCTAATGCTAAAGAGCGTAACTTTGAAGCCTCTTAACTCGAAAAGTACTTAACGAAAAAATACTTAAGTATAGTGTTTTGGAAAGCTCTCGAGATAAGCTACAAGAATATACAATAAAAAATGGGGGTATCCATTTAAAAACATCATTGTGACCTTGACCTGATCTTTATGACGCAACTCAAGGTCAAACTGCTAATATCATAAAATAGATCTTTTTAAACCCTACAACTTTTGTATTTCACATTTTTTTATACAACGCTTTGTTTTCGAGATATTCAGGTGTTCCTGTATATAATATTCACCCTGTATAACTTACGCAGAGCATTGTCAATATTTAAATTCTAATGTAATACTTTGCTAAGCGATGAAATACTTACGTAAAGTACTGTCAAGATTTAAAGTATTAACCCAGAGAGCACACAATATTAATGATAAATATTTATAAATATTTATTTCGAATTATTTTTTTAAAATATTATATAGATATTTCTTTATATATACATAAAGAGAGAGAGGAAAAAGTATAAAAATTATAATTCAAAATATTATTAAAATATAGGCTAAATATCTAAATATTTTATACAATATTTATTGTAAACCAAAAATTAATATTTGTAGTAATATCTTGTAAATATTTCTATAAATATTACACATACATGAATATAATTATTTATATTTAATAAATTAATGAAGAAGTAAGAAAATTGAAATTTAAACTGATAATACACACTAAAAAAATTCTTTAAATCAAAGAAA